TTCTTTTTTTTCTCTCTTTCTCTTTTATACACACACACACACACACACACACACACACACATATATCTAGATATGCATTCCCTCCCCTCCCCCAACTATTTCTGACTTTTCTTCTCTTCCCTCTCTATTCCCCATAGATAATTATAAGTAAGCTAAGATATAGGATAAGCTTTAACATTTTATTTTGGGTAGTAAGTTTTATTTTTTTCTCCCCTCTTTGCAAATAAGTGCCCTGCTATTTTGATATCGATACCCACTGTTTTATAAGTAATAATTATTATGTTTGTACTGCTTTTATATTGTGTGATTACTGTTTTACGCCTATATATGTAAGTTAGTGTAAGACATGTCAAGTTCCCATTTTGTAATGTCAAGCCTCCATCTTATCCCCATGCCCAGTTGTGTAACCCATGACTCACTACCCCTCCTATGTAACTTGGTTCCTGAATGAATGAGGATGAATGAGGGTGCTTGAGAGACAGTGGCATTAGGTCTAAAAATAGCTCCTTCTGAATGACTGAACCATCAACACCAATCCCTGGACCAATGACTCAGCTCTTGGAACCACTCTCAGCATTCAAGAAACAAAAGATGAGGCAACCCACCATTGTGCCAGGCTGCACATGCTCAGTAAGAACATCTGGAACCCTCTGGAACAGGACTGGCATTGCCTGGACAAGCCCTCCCCATAGGAGATCAGAGGTAGTCTGCCCCATAAAAGGGGTAGTGAAGACTGACTCCTTGGGAACAGCATTTCCATCTGGACCAGACCAGCTCCACGTCACACTGCTTATCCATCCAGAGGCTCTGCCGGCGACTCCCTCTGGACAACACTGAGCTGAAGGAGACCCCAACTGGCCATCGAGGACCCATTTTCAGCCTGGAATAGGTAGATATCCCCTGCGTATTTTCTCCTCCAATTTGGACTCCATCTCTCTCCTCCCAGACTTCAGTCACTGCACCAAGCTTCTTTAACCCCTGCTGCCATTGTCTGTGTGTGTGTGTGTCTGTGTGTGCGCAAAGGAACCAATGAATATTGTGTCACCATCTCCCCTGTTCAATAAAACCACTGTAATTTGTAACCCCGAGTTGGGTTGTGTTTTACTGAGCCCCGGTCCCTTCCCTATCTTAAATTCTGGTCTCTGTCTCTCTCGGCTCCAGTTCCCACCTCCCCTCATTTTCCTGATCTCTCAATTCTGTCTCCACATTTCTGCCACCTCTCAGCTCCTCTTTGTCCATCTCTGCAATCTCTCAGCCCTGTTGCTTTCTGCAAGCAGTTAACCCCGCGCCTGCCACTTTTGCATCCTCTCAGCCCCTTGGCTTTCTGCAATCTCTCAGCCCTACTCCCAGTTTTCCTCTCCCCATGTACCTCTCAGCTCCCTTGTAGTCTCCTTGCTCCGGCTCCAGCCTCTGGGCTCCTCCTCAGCATCACTCCTTTGCTCTGCCAGCTTTCTGCTTTCAGTTAACACCAATTAACCTTAAATTATCCCAACTTCCCCTCCAATGTGTTGGTTCTAATCCTGGCACTAGCAACTTTCATCTCAATCTCCACCTGAAGTAACTCCAAGCCTCAGCTCCTAAACCCAGCTCTCTAAATCTACCGGTTCTAATCCCGGTCCGGGCAACTTTCATCCCCTACACTTTCACTCTCTCTCCCTACCTTAACAGTATCCCAAGTACTCCAAGCACATACATACACACCACAAATTAGGAACTCACTAGTGTGTGGATGTAGGTGACTGGTATGTATGTGAACTGATATATGTGTATGTTACTGTGTGCATGATATATGAATTAGTGATTTGGGTATGCAGGTATTGATAATTGATTCTGGTCTAATTTCTTTTGGTCTGTATAGTGCATGTAGGTGCTTGAATTGGTGATAGGCGTGCATTTGCCTAGGCTGGTAATTTTGGATGTGTATGTGCCTGGATTGGTAGTGTGTGTGTGTACGCCTGGTGGGGGTGCATGCACCTAGAGTGTGTATATGCACCTAGTGTGTGTGTATGCACCTAATTGATTTTTGAGTGTGTGTATGTGCAATTGTATACCACATCCTCCTGTCTAACAGCACAATATTAAGATCCTGAGGGCTGGCCACAGGGCAACAGCAGGACAGAATGACTCAGCTCAGGCTGAAGGTGGGCTTGCATTAGGACCTGGTCATTGATTTTCCCCATGGCCTGGCTATGGAATGGCATGGGCAACGTTTCCTGCTGCCTGGTTGTGGCAAAGAAAAAATCTTGGCTACAGTGCAGCACAGGCAAAGGCCCCCACCACCATAGTCCCCCACCACCTGGCTGTGCTGCAGCTCTGCCAAAGCCATCTGCTGCTGGAATGCTGCTGCTAAAGCACCCCAGGCCTGTGGGCCGGTTCCAGTGGCTCCAAAAGGTTGAACCAGTTGTCAGGCCATATGTTGCTGATCCCTTATTTAACGTATTAAATGGAACTTGTCCTTAAACCTTTTAAATTGCAACATTTGACCAGTTTGTATATTGGGAGTCAAAGTTATCAATAATGATATTTTTGTTAGCATTTAGTTGTCTCTTTGGTCTTCTGCAATGAAGTGACCTTGATATCATTTTCCTGACGTGAAGAGAAGTAATATAGCTCTAGTAGCATATTTTTATTCTTACAAGTTGTGATTTGTAGTTAGACAAATTTACTATATTTTTCCATCACTCAATGCAGTGTTTTAGATACAGTACATTATTTCCTCTCCATGACCTACTTCATAATTTTTTCCTGTCCAGCTTATGGTCCCATGTTAGAGTTAACTAAATATTTTTTTATGCCACCATGTTTCAAAAATGCTTGCTACATCAAGTTCCTCCATTCTCTGACAACATTCAGGAAAGGATCAATGCCAAAAAGCCCCCAAAAACATCAGACTGGACACCTTGCAGTGGACAAAACCCTAACCTTGACCGCTACATTGACTGCTTCAGGGAAAGAATGAACAATGAAATAATCAGCAACACATGCCACCACAACAACCTCTCTCTACCAGAGAAAAAGGCCATAGAATCTCTAAGATCTAACCACCAAATAGTAATAAAACCAGCAGACAAAGGAGGAGCCGTAGTAATCCTAAACCGTGAGGATTACATAAAGGAAGCCAAGAGACAGCTCTCTGACACCACCTACTACAAAGAACTACAAGAAGATCCTACTCCTCTTTTCACCAAAAATCTCAACAATACCATAAAATCATTTCCATCAAGACTACAAGAAAAACTACAGACCTTGATCCCCCCACTACCTAACCCGGGGACTTTTTACATGTTCCCTAAAATCCACAAACAAGGGAACCCTGGCAGACCTATCATATCCAACCATGAGACTCTAAC